GAATTCTGGGAGTTGAAGTCCACACATCTTCAAGCGGCCAAGGTTGAGAAACACTGCCCTAAACTGTGTTGCAGTTCTGTTCCATTAAGATGGGTTGAGAGTCCTGTATTGCAGTTTGGAGGAACTGATTTTACTTCTGTAAGATAAACTTGTGTGGTGGGGTGGTGCCCTTCAGTCAGCAGCACCGCATCTCCCATCTTGAGTAGGAGGATAAAAGAAACCAGCTAGCTGATCTTGAGTTAAGCGCCTACGTCTGTCTGCCGAAGCAAGAACTCTCCAAGCGTTCAGACAAAGGGGGTCCTTTCCTTGCCTTACATCAGGGATTGAATGCACAATCTATCCTTTTGTCCTTTTCTCTTCCCCAATGAACGTTGAAGCTTTTAAAAACAAGTTTCTGGACCTCATGGGAGCGGTAGAGTTAAAGATCAAGGGAAAGATGCCGAAACTCCAGGTGATTGTCTCCATGCAGTTTTATTGACAGAGAAGTGGTTTGGTCCAGCTTTTGAAAGCTGGCTGGGTGACTTATCCTATTTCCTGTATGCTCAATTAGACGCCTCCAGGGAAATTCCACAAATTTCAGCAGGGTAGGAGAGCCATGAGGTCATCTAGGAGCTTGCATTCAGAACTAGGTCGTATGTTCTTGGTACAGAGAGACCCTTTGGTGTAGTGGTTAAAGGCACCAGGCTAGAAACCAGGAAACAGTGAATCCGAGTCCTGGCTTAGGCACGGAGCCAGCTAGGGGACTTTGGGCCGGTCGCTCTCTCGCAGCCCTAGGAAGGAGGCAAAAGCAAACCGCTTCTGAAAAACCCTGCCGAGAAAACAAGAGTCAAGAATGACTCAAAGACACCCACAAAAGGGTCTATCCAGGGGTGGTCTCTCTGCATGCATCCACACAGAGGCCTTAAGAGAGATGAGAACTGCCCAGGCTTTTTCTGAAGTGTGTCCCCAACTTGTTAGACACATTCCCCAGGCCCAGAGAGAGCTGCTTCTGATTAAAAGCCAGCCTTTGCTGGCTCCTCGCATCCTGCTGCTTTGCTGGGCTCTGAGCCTTGCTCAAGCCACTGCCAGGGAGCACGGCTTCAGAGACAGCGTGGTAGGAAAAGCCAGGAAGGGAATCAAATCTGTTCTTTCATTCAGAAGGGCTGAAAAGCATCCTCTTCCCAGCCCGGTCTCTCTAGCCGTGACTTCCAGGGTGCAGTGAATGAGAAGAAGGGCTCTGAATTTTGACCCACTTCTGGGTGCTGTTGCAGGTGTTCAAAGTGGAGATTGTGTGTAATGGAAGGAAACATTGCGTGGAGAAGCGCTACAGTGAGTTCTACGCGCTTCACAAAAGGGTGAGTAAAGGGGACAATCCCCCTTGAGTCGAGCCTTTGTAGTTTGGGTATCAGCACAGGAGTGGTTTGTTGTTTTCATTGGGGATTTTTTTCCCCCCAATGTTCCACTTTAGCCAGAGCCCTGGGATTTCTTAGTCTCCCTTCCAAATAGTAACCAGGGTTGACTTTGCTTAGCTTCTGGTGATCAGCTAAGGTTGGCTATGTGCTGCCCCCTGCTGGAAACGAGGGGGTGGTGCACCCAGGATTCCATGTGTTCCCATCCCAGAAGGTTGAAACCCTCCTGCCCGTTTTGAGCACTGCACCAGACCATGTGCAGCTGAATTGGTTCAGGGACCACCTACGAGTCTGGTCCCTCAAGTTGCCCATTCCTGCTGCAGCCCAGCATCCCACAGGAGCTGGACGCTTCCTGAAAGTCCACAAATGGAAGGCAGTAGTTCTACCAGCCGTTGCTCCCTAGAAGTAAACTTCCTCTGAGTACAGAGGTTCTATTTAAAGCCATCTGTTCAAGCCTCTGTAGGCTGGGCTGTAATTTTCTCATGCCCCAATGCCAACTGCTGCTTTTGCAGAAAGATGTAGGAGGAACCCAAGAGAAGGTACACACCGACATTCTAGTGTCGATCCCACTTCAGTTCTGTAAGAAGAAGGGAGTGTTCCTAACTCTGAATCTGAAGTACGTTGCCTGCCAGGTCCAACACAAATTGGTTGCTTTTAGGATATTTCTGTGATCAAGAGAAATGCAGGTGTCTTTGGCTTCTGGGTTTTCTTTTGTGAATGAGAAGATCAGGACCAAAACCTGCCCTAGGATGGCTGTCTAGGATCTGTATCTAGTGGGGAAAATGTAATTATGGATTTTTTCCATTGAAATATTTCTATTTAGCTGGAATTTTTGCCAAAGGCAGGAGCACAACACTGAGGAGAAGAACCATGTTTACTGCAATGATCATTGGGTGCCTGCTTTCAAGAAATGGAGGCCCTGAGCAATAGAAAAGCATAGGATTTATACACTTTTGAGGTTGAGAGGCGGGCAATCTGAGGGACATGATTTGAGGATAGGTTTGGATAAGTGTTAAATGGGGGATAAATGGTTTTTAAATGGTTCTTCCATTGTGAGATAAGAACCAGGCAAACCCTTAAGCAGACAGGTGATGGCCATTGTTTCAGTATGATACTGTTAAGAGGGCTATTTTTGGTCACTCTTGGGTCATGCAGTAGCCTGGAGCTGATCCTGTTTTGCATGAGCAAAGAATGGCAGGAGGAAGTGGAGAAAAGAGATTGCAGGAGAGGCAAGGGCGAGGGGGGAATAAAGAGTTTGCTGCAGGAGGCAAGGGGGAAGCAAGGGGGAGAGCGTCCAGCTTTATTTTATTATTTTTCCATCACATAGCCAAAGGCATCATTGTACAGGTAGGTAGTTATGTAGAGGAGATAAAGCGAGTAAATACTGGCAATTTCAGAACTGTCACCGTTCCTTTGTCCATCTCTGTGGATGCCCGTGTTGTAACAGGCGCCTAACAGGTGCCGTGTCCTTGTTTCTCTCCTTAGATCAAGAGGAATTGCCAAGTTCCTGATTTCCCACCCAAGCGTGTGCCCAACTGGATGGTGAAGGTTCTGCAGCAACGGCGTGCAGGCTTAGAAGCTTATCTGCAGGTGTGGGGAGGGGGCACTGAAACCACAAATCCTGTTTGCTTTCTCTTTCCATATTCCGCAGGGGGGTTCACTCCACCTACTTGTTGCATTTCCTGCAGGGGGTCATCTTGCAGAACCAAACGCTTCCCAAGGAGTTGCTTCGTTTCCTGAAGCTCTGGCAGGAACAGCAGGAGCCCCCTTTGGTGTGAGTATTCCTCAAGAGCAGCAAATTCTCTCCCCCCTTCTCCCTGCAGGTGCCAACAGCTGGACAAGGGGGACTGGTGATCCTCCAGGTGTTGTTCAACAACAAATCCCAGCAATCTAATTCAGGATAGCCAGTGGTGATGGATGCTGGGTGTTGTAGTCCTGGATCATCTGGAGGGCTTCTGTTCTACATGAATTCCATTGCATTCTTCTTGCCTTGTCCTTTGGGCATTATTGATGTCTGCTTTTCTCTTTGTTCCCCCCTCCCCAACCGGCAAACAATCACAGTGAAAACCCAACACCAAGGGCTGATTGACAAACTATACTAAAGTGTAATGCGGTTTCTTAGATTTGGTTCAGACTAGTAGATGAAGACACCCGTATTAGCTTCACTGAACAAACCCAATGTTTTAACAGGTTGAAATTTAGGTTATTTTGAGGACCCTTCGAAGCTCTTCTGTTGTTAGGATCCTTTGAGTCAGTTTTGACTCTTGGTGATTACATGGCCATGGTCCCTGTAGTTTTCCTGACAACAAATTGGAAGTCAATTTTGTCATTGACTTCTTCTTGCGAAGGCTGTGAGAGGGACTGGTCCAAAGTCACCCAGATGACTTCCATGCCTAAGGCATCGCTAGAACTCAGTCTCCATTTCTAGCCTGCTGCCTTAATCATTACACCAAACTGGCAGTCAAGTCCATGGTGACCACATGGAGAAGTCCATGCAGTTTTCTTGACATGTTTCAGAGGTGGTTTGCCCTGGCCTCCTCCTTCCTAGGGTTGAGAGAGAGAGACTGGCCCGAAGCCACCCAGCTGGCTTCGCGCCTAAGACAAGACTAGAACTCAGATTCCCCTCTTTCTAGTCCAGTGCTTTTCACCACTGCATCAAACTGGGCCATTCTAGCCACTGCAAGTCTTCAGCCATTGTCCAGGTCCTTACTCTAGAGACGGGTGGCCAAAAGGCCTATATAGCTCTAGACTCCAGACCGCTGAAGTTGATGGATCTTCTCTGGTCCTGGTACTTGAAGGATATCCATTTGTGACTCCTGAAATTATGCCATGAGGCCCTCCCACGTTTCAGAGAACAGCTCCTGTGACAGGATAAATCTAAAGCAGTGGGTGGGAAGTATCTCCAGCTGTTTCAAGGGGCAGCTTCTGAACAGCTGGCTGAGAAGGTAGCTCATTTTAAACCTTTGTTACCTCTCTGCGAAGGTGAGGGTATGGCTGACTCCAGAAATTAAATAATGTAATGAAACAGTGATGTGGGTTGAGCTGTTCTTTACTGACTGTCTTGTCATGGCCTCCTGGCTTCTTGATGTTCTTTTTCAACAGATGGGATGAGAATTCTTCCTTGCATGACTCCAGGTAAGTCGTTTTATATTTTGGGGGAGGGGGGCTGGGGGAGCATCCTGAGCTTTTCCTTGTGCTGGGGAGAGGGATCCAACTACCAGCTTGTCCTCATTGTTTATTTCAACTTAGATGGACTGGATTTCCATCATCCCCGGTCAGCTTTCTGAGAGCTGTTGTGTCTTAAGGAGAAAGACGGGACTGGTATTCCAATGTATCTGGAAAATGCCAGAAGGCTGGCTTACTCCGTAGTCATACTTCTCCAGTAATACAAAGGCTTGATTTCCAGCTCTAAGCAAGTGACTCTGCGTGTGACCCAGGGAGCAAGATCTACAAGAGCCCCAACTCTGCCTGCTTCTTTGCTCTGTCTCTCTTTCTGTTTGAGTGTCACCCCTGGGCTGCCACTCCAAAGCTGTGTGTAGCCCTCCAGGCTGGGGGAAAAAATCCCCCACTTCTCTGCTTACTCTAAGCCAGTGTTTCTCAACCTTGGCCACTTGAAAACGTGTAGACTTCAACTCCCAGAATTCCCCAGCCAGCCATGCTGGGAGTTGAATTCCACACGTCTTCAACTGGCCAAGATTGAGAAACACTGCCCTAAGCATTGTATACCCTTTTGAGTAGCTTGGAGGAAGGAAGAGGTGGGGTGAAGCAGAAGGGTCTTTGCCCCATTCCTGCTTGTCCTAACAGAAGGTGGTGCTCTTTTCTCACCGCAGTCCCAGTGCCCAGCTCTCTCACCGGCCTGTCGTAAGCTTCCACAGCGATCCATATGTGCTCCCATCCTCCACTGGTAAGCCTTGAGAAAGCCACTTCCCAGGAGGCCTTGGGTTGGTGACAGAGGAAGGGGAACTCCAGTTTGCCAAGGCTCTGCTATCGTAACGGTATGCAAGACAGACTTCGAGAAACAGGGCGAAGAGATGCTGCCTAGGGAACAGTCAGGTAAGCGAGGGCAGAGCCCACAGCTGCATAATGGGTGGAGTAAGAGACTCAGAAGGGACCCTCCCTAACTTCTCAGGCTGTAGCTGTAAAGGAGACGACGGGAGATTTGTACTTTTAGACTTGCAAGATTGTTATTAGCCTTCCCAGGTAGACCAGACAGGAAATTCTATGACCAGATGAGCTAATTCTACTTTATTGTAAGGCTACATTAACAGAATCTTGCAAGTCTGAAAGTACAACTCTCCCGTCGTCTCCTTTACAACCTGAGAAGTTAGGGAGGGTCCTTTCTCTCTCTCTCCACCCATTATGCAGCTGTGGGCTCTGCCCTCTCTTATCTGGCCGTTCCCTAAGCAGCATCTCTTTGCCCTATCTCTCAAGGTCTTTCTCATATATCATTACAGTTATCCAGCAGGAGTCTGGGTTGGGAAAAGGCAAATGTGTTTCAGAAGCAACATGTGTCATAGAGTCTGAGCTGGGAACAAAGTACAATGCAATGGGAGTTTCAATGCCAAAAGATATTGTGTGATGGATTTATGGTGAAAACCAGTTCCTTCCTCCTTGCAATCAAGCAAGTGTGGAAACCTATGCTTTTCCAAAGATTCTTCAATGATAACACCCAGCAGCCTTCACTACAGGTCATGCAACAACCTCTAGATGGACCACATGGTCTCCCTCACCTTTGTAAGATGTGTAAACTCCAACTCCCAGAATTCTCCAACCAGCATGCTGGCCAGGGAATTCTGGGAGCTGAAGTCCACCTGTCTTAAAAGTTGCTGAGGTTGAGGAACACTGGTGTGGAGTCCCTCCAGACGTGTGGGCTTCACCTTCCCACCGTTCCCCAGCCTGCATCGCAATTGCAGAGAATTCTGAAATCAAAGCTCACACATGCAGAGGACGTTAGGGTGGGAATGTTCAGTTTAAGAGACCTGGGCCTTCATGGACAGGCAGTTAACCAATGTACCTCTCCGTCCTTGGGTAGGTAGCAGGAAATGGACCTGTTAAAGTTGTCCTACACGCACAAACCCACAGAACCTTAGTTTCCCTCTGGAACTGGTGGCCTAAGCTACTTCTGCAAGTGGACTCCAGCACCAAGTGCCATATTTTACAGTTTCTGTTGTTGTTATCGTTATTCTGATGCTTTAGTCTTACTCCTTGTCTCGGGGGGGCACAAAATATCTCTGGGCCTGTGCTTGGGCAGCCACTCTGTAAGCCACGATGGCGGCTTTGGATTTCTCAGCTGTAAAGAGAATACAGGAAATCAAGTGTGCTCTTGAGAAACTGCAAACCAGCTACTTGTTCCTCTTTTTACCCAGACTTGCTTCCAAATATCATCCTGCGAGGTGTCCTGCAGGGCCTCTACACCCGAGACCATCATCTGCCTGGAATCAAAGCTCTTCATGGACTGGGGGTTGCAAAGGACAATGACAGCTACCCACAGATTTGGCCTTCTGCTCCTTTGTTTCCTGCCTAGGGGATGAGTCAGCTGTCTGCTTTGGAAGAGCAGCCTGCAGCTTCTCTCGCATTCAAAGTGGAGCACACGGGCAGAGGGCACAGAGCTCACAGACTGGGCAAGCATGCTTGTCAGCTTCACCCGCTGGGGGGAAAAATCCGGTGCAGATCATATGTTTGTTGTGTAGGGTACCAATTAAATGCACTGTGGTTTGGAGGCTGCAGTTCTAATTCTGTTTACCTGGGTCCCTTGGCTGCATCTCTTTGGGAGCAGACTCCAGCATTTGTGAAGCTCACTGGCCTTATCAAGGAGAGGCTGCCACCAGAGCAGTGTTTCAGCAACTTTAAGATGTCTGGACTTCAACTCCCAGAATTCTGGGAGTTGAAGCCATCTTAAAGTTGTCCAGGTTGAGAAACATGGCACAAGACTGTCCAAAGATAGATCAGGTCCCGGTTCTGGGTCTGCCTCAGCCAAGAGGCAAACCAAAAAAGTCTGTAAGGTGGCTGGTCTTGGTGCCAGTGGGAACTTCAGTAACACATCTTTCAAAAGCCAGAGAGATGCCTTGTTTGGAAAGATTGTGGACTCTATAGCAACATCTTCACCACGTCATTACAATACCTGGGAGCAGGAAGGGTCTGCTGCTGCTTTAAATACTGTGAGATACAGGTAGTCCTCGCTTAATTACCACAATTAGGACTGGAACTGCATCGCTAAGTGACACATCATTAAGCATGATGTCACGTGACCGACTTGCGATCTTCTGCTGGCTTCCCCATTGAATTTGCTTGCTGGAAGCTGGTTGCAAAGGTCACAAATGACAATCACGTTACTGTAGGACACTGACCATCACAAACACGCACCAGTTGCCAAGTATCCAAATCACAGACCTCAGGGATGCTATGATGGCTGTAAGCGCAAGGACCAATTGCAGTTACTTCTTCAGCGCCATTGTAAGTTTGAAGGGTCACTAAACAAGGCCATTGTTAACCAAGGACTACGTATACAGTGGTACCTCGGGTTACAAACTCGCCTCGACTTACGAACCGGATCCGCGGCCATTTTCCCTGCTGCCACAGGGTCGCGGCTTCCTGTGGGCGAGGTCGCGGTAGCAAGGAGAC